TCAATATATTCATATTTATCTTTATATTCTAAAATAATTTCATCAAATATTGATTTTATAGCATGATAATCTTGTAAATCTTCATAAATTTTTGGTTCATCATTTTGTAATATTGTACGATAATCAGAAAATATAGTTGGTTTTCGAAATAGAATAATCTACATCAGAGATGTGTGAGACCAAGCTTTTTAGTCTCGATCCCGATCTGATACCGGTAGTTTCTTTTGTCGTGGTTCCAGTAATTCTACTCTGGTCTCTAGTCCCGCTATCGATCTGAAGAAAACGATTCAAAATTTACTCACATTACAGTCTAAGAATGTTCTTGAATACTCGTTTTTTGACTTATTTAGTCGACAAAACGTCACTTTTCTGGTGACCTCTCCTGAATTTCGTTTTGATCGGTGTGATTTATGAGATAATTTGCTCAAAATGATAAATTTGTTTTGTTGTCGGTCCTGGTAACTTTTTTGTCTTGCATTCTTAGTACTAGTAAAACTTTAAATTTTGGTCCTGGCTCCGAAACTGGTCCAGCGCATATCTAATCTACACTCTTCTTCCCCTAGCCACTGACGGTCAGATTAGAAAATATATGTAAGATCGATAAGAATGGACTAGATGAATGGATCCGTAGATGAACTTGAGTGATTTTTACTTAATCTATGAATTATTTTATTATAGATTATAATATTATTGTTACTATATAAAAGATTAATATATTCAAGTTTTATTGATAACAATCTCATCTTCATTGTTATGATGAACTCTAAAAAGATTTCATTAAAATCATCATCTACATCCGAAAGACAAAAAAGTAATGAATCCTTCAATGAATCCATCTTCTATCGAGTATTTTCCAGTCTGTGCTTTACTTTAATGATTATAATTTGTAGTTTTACAATATATGATATGATTCAACACAGTGTAAGTATGTAATGTTTCATGAATAATAGAATTCACTTTTATGCTATTCATAGAAAACAATCGATGATTCAAAACGAATATATAGCATTTATTTTTCTGTCGTTCTTACATCATGTACACTTATTTTCTCAATTCTCTTCACCGTCGAAAACATTTATATTTGGATGGGTAATTAAGTAGTAGAGAATCAAACGTTTTGTTTTTCTTCATAAAAGTTAATGTGTTGTCTAGTATCTTTTTATATGCACGAACCAAACCGAAGATATGTACATAGGAAAGGCTTAGTCTATGATTTGATCAGTACTAAACAATTTCAATTGTGTCATTTTTATCCTTTATCAGTATTCTCTCGTTGTCGGAAGTGTTATTTGTGTCAATCAAAAAACATGATAAAGATCAATCTATTATTGATTACAGAAATTACTAAAATATTTTATATCATCAGGGGATTGACAAAAGAATTTGCAGATTTTCAGTATTGTTTATGTCATTCAGTCAAAGATCTCTTTAATTCTCACGATCGTCTTAAAAGTAAGTGAAATAAATCCTAAATTATGGAAAATTATTTGAAAACGATTCATTTCTCTTCAATATGTTTATGTATTAGACTTTCAATCAGATATTCACTGTAATATTTCACAAAGAACGAATTTATTTTCATCAGATGACAAAGTTAATTTAAATAGAAGAAAACCGAAAATTTTTTTCCATCAACTTGTTTTTATTCAAATTGTAGAGATTTTGATCAATTTCAATCTATAACAACTTATTTTCAGAAACATCGAAGTATTATATCAGCATTTAGCATTCTATCACTCTGCTTTGATCCAATAAGAAACTTAGATACTCAATATTAATCACATCCATACCAATTAAGCTCATGTCGAAAGTTTTAAACGTATATGAGTACAAATCACCGAATGGTTTTGAATGAGAACACTACATCTGATTCTACTGTCAAACAATTAAAGAAAATATCTACTTGACTCACTATTAAAGTTTTTATTCATAAAATCATCAAATGATATTTATCTATACTCAAATGTGAATCCAAACAAGAACCATATACTATTGTTAATAGTATTTAACTTGATCGATTTTCTTTTGTATATGTGTACATTTTCTTTGTTTTGATCTTTAAATGTATGTTCTCTTATTCTAGTATATCAGATTATTGGACTTGTTTGTGAGAGTAGCTTAATCTAATATATACATGTGTGTAGTGTCGAAGTTATTGTAGATCAACTGAAAATAAAATAATTATCAATTAATAGATAATATTAAAGCTAAAATAGATACCTATAGTTGTTTTTTTTCAATTTAGAAAGTACATATGATTTTTATAAACAAAAGTAAAAGAAATTATTCAGAAATAAGACATTTAATTTTATTATTATTGTACTTGATTATAGATCTATTTAATCAATCCTAAGTTTGTTGTTAATGAAATAGATCTCTGAAATACTGCATGCTGATATAAATAATAGATTGACTTTACATTCATAAGAAAAATGACTGGCACGGGAACAGGCTAAATGCTTACCAAACTCAAACTCACATTGAGTCAAGCAAAGACTTTACCTAACTAGGTTTTTTATATTTATCACTTTTCAGTGCTACTGATTTAACAAACTATTTTATATTTTGATCTAGTTTTTTTTTTATGTTGATCATGTCTTTGTTTGCATCATTGGCTAGTTGTCCTGTATGTCGATATTGATAGAAGGATCGACAACTACCGGAATAGGATAAATGGTGAGAACTGTTTTGACTATATGCTTAAGTAATATGTAAATCAAGACTTAGTGCTGTATAGATCTATACATTATCCTACAAACTTAGGGTTGCCTGAAAAATCTACAATTATACATTGTAATAATAAAATTAAAGATCTTTTTTGTGAATAATTTATTCTATTTTTGTTTATAAAAATCATATGTAGTTTTTGAAATTGAAAAAACAACTATACGTATCTGCTTTAGCTCTAATATTATCAATTAATTGATAATTATTTGATATTCAGTTGATCTAAAATAACCCATGCAGACAGATAAACGGCAAAAACTCTGTAAAACTCATTGATTCGAAAAATCTTAGAAGTACACGCATGAAATGTTTTCTTTCTTACATTTAATGCGTTAAAACGGATTTAACGAAGATATTAGATCAGTGAACGCGTTTTAACGTATGTATTCTATAAATTAGAGAAATGAAGTCATTTTAACATAAACAGGTCATTCGTTTAAATGTATTAAAATAGAAAAAATGATTTGAAAAATCAGCGCACATTGAAATAAATTTCTATCGGACAAAAAATGACTAGGAAGTAAAGCAAATGACTCTGAAATTTTTACGGATAAGTGCCTTCAGTTCGATGGGGATACCCAAAAAAAATCAGAGTTTCGAAATGGATGAAATTTAACATAAGTTCTGGTTGAATAGCAAGCATTTTGATCAAAGAGTTATAATGAATAACCTCGATTAGTGATCAATGTCAGGGTACCTATAATACATATTTACATCAGTAAGCATGGCCATTTATCAACCAAGTATCTGCTAGGAGTGTTGATGTCATTATCAGGTTGTTATTGGGTGATATCTACACTCACAACTAAACATAGCTGTATGCATTGGAGATTGATATGAATAAGGTTAATTATAGAAATTTTATTTTTTAATCAGTTTGTAGCAATGAACTTGTCGAGTATCGATATTAAGTTTTTATTTAAACTCGAATTCTGAATTCTTTGATAAAAATTTAGAAAAACTGATTTTTATTAATTTTTATGATGAAAAATCGAATGAAAGGTACACTATTTCGATCAGATGTTGAATTAAAACATAGCTAAACATGTTATCCTTGAGTTTTAAATTAAAAAAAATCGACTTTTTCATCGCTTTTCAGGACTTTTCGCTAAACAAGTAGTAAGTATACTGCTAATATTCCTTACATATGCTAAGCTTCAAACATGATCTTTTGCAATTACCTTTTTAACAATTGTATTCTAGTTGTTTATATCTGTTAGGTTTCTCAAAGATAAATATATGATATTTCTATATTGATCTCAGTCACTGTATGTGCTGGAAGTCTGAAAATATGTATACACGTACGTCACCAAGAATATAGATCATTAGCATTGCAGCGTAGTTATTATTTAATTACAAAGAGAGTCATGATATACGGCGCTTATTCTATGCTCTGAGCATTATAACCTAAACAAGACAGCTTACAAATTTTTGCGCTGTTTCTTATAAAAAAAAAAAGATGATTAATTCTTGATGTTTTTACATGTAGCTAAAGTACCGTCTACAGTCTTTCCTCATCACAAAGATAAGTTCATTTGCTCGAATATTGATATTCTAGATCGTTGAGACTAATAAGATTATCATCTTCGTTCCATTTCTCCTGTAATAAAATTAGTGATGTAGATAACAGAGGCATAGCAATACATATTCAGGAGTTGAATAACACAGAATACCCTCCTTTTCCAGGGTTGTGAGGCCGACAACAAAAATAGATGCTATTCATCATAGTTTTCTTTGAAATTAAGTAATAACGACGTCGCAATGTCACAGACCTATGTTCTTGGTGAAAGTGCATATACACAGATTTCGAACACACACAGTGGTCTAGACTGGACACTTTTGTTCGCCACTGTTATTGTGAAAACAAAAGAGTAATTTATCCATCAACTAATTACTTAATTCTAAATCTTGAAGTTTCTCATACAGGATTTTCAGAGTAACCTAACGTTTCTTGTCGAACGATGACCCAAGCATAAATTTAATTTTTACTAAAACATATATGATTTAAGTTAATTTCAAAAACAAACACTGTGGATGAACAGAAACTCTCACAAAAAACAATAAATACAGTTAATACTAGCGAATTCTACAACTTCATAGATTCAACAGGGCCTCAGTGAAGATTAAACATAATTTACTATATCATTCGGTTTGTGAAACTTATTCTCATCTCTAATGGGATATTAGCGATATTTTTCTATTTCAAAAAGTATTGAAAAATAAATCTACATGGAAAATATGTTGATTTTCCAGTGAAAATGAACATAATGATGAATGATGGCAACAATGAAGTCTTTCAACTGTTTACATTGATGCAATATTCAACATATCATAAAACGATCAGCAAATATAATACAAAACTTCATTTACTCAATAATTATTTTAAAACATACGAAGATCCAACTCAATGAAACTTGCAAAACTGTTTTCGATCAACAGTTATACGATTAGTGATAATCTCGACTAACCATTAGATAATGATACTCAATTAACTTTTGTTCTTCAGTCTGAAAACGAGCAACAAGTAGACAAAATTTTGCAATCTTTGAATCACGACACTCTTATTCTAGTGTCGATGTTACGAAATTCCAGCAACTTCTTTTGTGTTTATTTGTCATGGTTGCTTAGAAGTCGCCGATTTCTTTCTGAAATTTTTTTTTCTGACATATTCGAACAATTCTTGTCTTGTGTATAAAGTATTTGATATGTTTGCCATTTCTAAAGTCTTTTCGTGATAACTTCATTATAAAATAATTAAATTTTACAATGTAATGCTTCGTTCCTGAAAACAATTTCAGACAAAGTTACAATCAGTGTATCTACAATTTGAATTTATAGTTGAAAGTGGTAACGAAGTTAACTATACATTCATCTTCTGCAGTTCGTGTTCCAACAATGGTAACAGCTGGCTAGTTTTCATATTCCGTGTCACAATCGGATATACACGGAAAAAGAATGATGAAATGGTTAAAATCATTACTGTGTTCAAATATATTTTCAAATGATAGATACACTTATTCGACCAGTTAAGTTTTCTATTCAAAGTAATACATTAAAGCAAATTTTATTTATGATAAATGAACAAAGATCAAAGAAAAATCAAATCACACACATCCTATAATAGTCGAATGTTCAATGAATATAGAAATATTTCTCTTAGTTTAACATATATTGGATAGGATATTATGTTTATCGATACCGGTAATCATATATGATGGTCTATAAAAATTACCCTTGCTATCGAGCCGTATTCTAGCCGAACTATAAAAATATCCAGAAATGATTGATGTCAAGGTGGACGTGCTAGGTGTCCATCTGGTTATGTTGTTGTAGCCAGTTACGTAGATATTTCCTGAATTATCAAGAGTCAAGCCGCCAGTGTTCCACCAATACATGCCAGCTGCATAGTAGAATAAATATCTACCATATTGATTTCCTGTTGAAAAGGCCAAGATACGACTAAAATACAAACAATACATGTTTCGAATAGCTAGAATCCATCGTCAAATATGAAATATGTCATACTTGCAAAAAGAATCGTTTAGTGTCATCAATAGGTTTTCAGTTCGGATTCTCTGTATGACAACAATCTCAGTCATGAATATTTAATGCCAAAATGATAGGTCATCTTAGGTTTTCTTTGCTGAGATATCAATGTCTCAATGTACTCCTTTGGAAGTTGACACTAAACTTCATGAGGAAATACAGAACGACTTGTACTGTGTACGAAATATAAATCAAGAATTTATTTCCCATATGCTTATGGGATTATACTCTACCGAATCATGTAGAACATATTTCATGTACTACTTTATGGTTAGTTGAAAATCTACAGCTTTTATGGAAGTGTTGCAGAAATATTTGTCTTTAGAAAATTTTTTACAATTTCATCATGCACAAAGTGTTCGGTAACAACAAGAATGAAAGCGTAAATCTATCGAGTTCCGCAATATCATGTCATTTTATCAAATAATACCTCTCAGTAATTTGGTTAGCCTCGAAAAAAAGAATGTGATGTGGCTTTTCTAAACAACATCAATTGAGATACCGTACCTATTACCCGCATCTAGGACATATAAAGTAAAGTTCGCATCGACGAATATTCCTCGAGGATTATTCAGTTGGTTCAGTTGTGATCCCGATGTGTTTGTAACACCCGCAACGACTGTAGCAAAAGGATTATTTGGTTTAATTTTGATCACACGATGAATGCTGTAATCGGAGCAATACATCACCCCTTGGAGGTCAACAAAAATGTCTGCACATCCACAAAACTCATTCAATCCTGTACCACACTGACTTTCACCAAATAGTGTGGTACCAATAAATGAATTATTCGAATCATACTTCTGCAGACGATAATAGTTAACCCAATATGGCATCGAATATTCACTCTAAATATGAAATCAGATATAATTTTAGATTTCATTATTATGATAGACATATAAAATGATTTACATACTCGACTCTCATATGTATAGATTGCTCCATTTAAGTCTACGAATAGCTGGCTTATGGAGAAAAGTGACGCGTTGCCAGGACCTGCCACCGGTGTTCCAATGGAATTGTTCGGAGCAAACTTGAAAAACTGTTTACTATAGTACTCTACCACGTAAATATTGTCACTCGCATCGACTGTATAATCAGTGAATGAGAACTGATAACTACTGTTCGCAAACGCAGAGATAATGGTTGTTGAATTCTGATCCCATGTAGCATTTGGACAGATTGCCATTGATGTAGAGACTACTCGAAGTAAAAACGAAATAAAGTAAGAGTGTTTTCGCATTTATTTAAATTATGATAAATTTCTTTCAAGTAGATGAACGCAATTTCCAACCTGACGATGTGGGTTAGAGTGAAGGTAAAGATGAGTTCGTCAAGCTTAAGCACCTACACCTAGAAAGAGTTTCACTCAACTTCAATAGAGTTGAATTGCTTGATTATATTTCATACATTGTGTGTTCTCAAGCTCAGTCCGAGATGAAAATCATTATAATCTCATCATCTTCTATGTGTCTAATTCGGTTAACTTTGTCCGAAAGATAAAATAATGTCTCTTGTACAAGTTTGTTTTGAATGCAAGAACATATTCTACGAGTTACAATGGCCATGCAAGCACATAATTTATTTTCAAATTAATACAAAGCTACATGGACTTATTGAAGTCACTAGTTCTTGTTGGACTCAGATTTTTTTTTCTTTCTTTAACAGCTGAAAACGGGTTTTGAGTACTTTTCTATTATCGAGTCAAAACGAATAGCCTAACCAATTAGAGCTGAAAGGGGACGTTGCACTATTTCATCGTATAGCTTCTTATGGCCAAACTCTTTATATATGATGAAGACATCATTCAGATCTAACCAAGTGGATAATCCATAACTCTTAAAAATCAATGGAATGAAAATCTATATTACATTGAATTTGAAGACTCGAACTGTTCTATAAAATCTCAGTTGTTTCCGATGTAATTTCATCAAGAAATCATTAACACAAACAATTCTTCAAAAGAAAGTCTACCTGAATTGGCGGCATTCTGTGAACTACATTGACTGCCAAGAGCTAATGGCATACAGATGGACACCAAACAACAACTATTGATAACACAAACACTATTACTTGTTGAACATCTTGTACCACTGATACATGTATCAAACAGAGAACAGATGACTTGAGGAGCGCACAAAGTTGTATTGATCGATGTTTTAAATTTATAGCAAGTCGGCGATGAAGAACAGGTGCCACCCACTGGTGACACGTTCTTGCAAAGATCTACTGAGCAGCTCGATGAATATTTTAATGTTTGACCTATAAAAGAAAATTCTTGTAGCAGATGAGCAATCACTACCTTAATGCTTACCATGAGTGATGGAGATAGGGCAGAACAAGATAGCGATAACTAGCAAAAACATCATGATAGACTATTTTACTACTGATGAATATTGAATCTATCGAATCAAATGCGCAAATGAAAAGATATAAATACGAAGAGTGATGTTTTTTTCCCACTTCCTCTCCAAAGGAGAAATTATTTCGGTATTGATTTTGGTATTGTTGATTTAAGAAAAAGAAAAAATTGAGATCATTTAAATTTGAAAACGTCCCGAGTGCGAAATGATTATTAATGTTAATTTTTTTTGAAACTTGAAAAGTCTTCTGTGCTGACTCCTCAAACGAAAAGCAAACATTGCGGAAAAATCATCTCTATATTGACGTCACTTCTATTCAAGGAGCACTAAGAAATCGTCGATAGAATCTCTATAAGTGTTTCAAATGCTATGAAAATTATATCGATTTGCTTCTAAACAAATGTTTTTGAACGCATGTAGTAATTTATTTCAAAGATTTTCGATTCTCATCAAATTGTAAAATAAGTTGTCTTATCACTCCCAAAGCATTATAATCCTTTCTTTTTTTTTGAAGGGGACCTTTTTTGTTTCCATTTCAACCTCTGGATGTCGTCAATGTACAGCTAAAGATGTAGCACTTTTGAATGATATCATAAATCATAGAAGTGCATGTACTTCAATCGAATGTGAAAGAATATTTAAAAATAGACAATTTTCTCTGTCATGAATTTGTTGAATTCGCCTAACGACTTAGCCTAACACAAGTTGTCTTCAGCTAATTCTTATTGCCTATAAAGATTCATTTCGGAAACTTCCATCTGTTGTTACATATCATGATGAAATTTTTCATTTGATTTGATGATTTAACAAACAATTTCGATGCGCCAACCAGTAACGCTGTTTTTTTTTAATTACTTGATGTTAAATAAACATGTGAAACAAACATAGAATAGCCTTTTTAAAAATTTTGTGTTCTGTCTTGATCAAATATTGTTATCGATAAACAAAAACAATATTATTTGCGCTTTAGAAGAATTGATTAGTTACGACCAGAATGTTAGCCTTCTCTATCATCATGACTACATAATTGTTACTCATCTGTGGAAAGAGCCGAATAGATTGTGATTGAAATTGAAGTATGAATGCTAAGTAAACTAGGGTTATGACATGTTCAGTTTAGAACCCGAAATGAAAAATAATTGCGTCAATGAGTGAGTAGCAACCATAATCTTTTGTTTACTTTCACTTTCATCAAATCGATGACTTTTTCTTATGACGGCACGAAAAATTGAGTTCTGTTATTCTATTGATTCAATGTAAAAATAGACCGATTGTCAAGAGAAATGGATTTTGTTTTTCTATGCTCGCAACCAATAATATAACGAGTTACGAAACATTCGATAGTCAGTTGATCTCATTGAGTGGATCTGTGGACTTCTCCATGCAGTCGACATCAGACATCGACCGAATATTTTCATTAAAAAATATAGTGTTCACATGATTGTAGATGAATAATATATGGAATAAAAACAAAAATACCGATATGGCATATAATTATTCATAGTGAAATGTGATCGTACTCGAAAAGAAAATATTCATATATAGAAATCAATGTTCTGAATTCAGTTTTTCTACAAAACCATTCTGTCATACTCATTTTTTCTGATAAATAAAAATATAAAGAAGAGAAAAAGAATAGAATAAAACGAAACACAAATCAGAACTACATACGATGATGATAGTAGAAGATGCTATCATATAGAAGGAAATTAAGTATTTCAATTTTACATCAATTAGAGATTGNTTTATATTTCTAGTATTCGACATTTTTACATTTCGATGTTTTTATAGTTCGACATTTGTATTTTTCGATATTTTTCTTTTCTACATTTTAACTTTCGACGTTTTTTATTCTACATTATTAGCTTTCGGCATTTGTATCTTTCGACATTTTTATTTTCGACATTTTTAGCTTCTACATTTCAGCTTCGACATTTTTGCTTTCGACATTACTAGGGGGAATCGGTAAAACAATCGTTTGATGGAGTTTTTCATCATGTACTTCAACAATCGACGTACTAGAACAAGAAAAAATGTTGGGCAAAACAGGCATCCGTACTTGATTTACTACTGAATGTAAAAGTGCGAAAAATATTCGACGTCATTCAATATATTCTGATGAAAATGAAATATTATTATTGTCAGCCATTCAATTTAAAGTTATTAGTCGAAATCAACTATCTGAAAATGTGTATATGATCCAGTTGAAAGAACCTGAACCACTGTGGGGTGTGGGTGTGCATATAAGATCCACGTTCACATCCTTTAGATTATCTATTGTCATTATAAACATGAGTAATTTTGAACACAAATTTAAATACAGAAAAAAAGAATATTTTTTAATCTTCATTCGTATCTATATCAAATTGATTAATTATTATTTCGTCAATTCATCGATACAGATCTGTTGTTTTCTTAATTTTTTAATGAGTATGCTCTATTCAATCAGTTAATAAGAAGTGTTAATGAGAAAAAATTGAATTATGAAATCGAGAATATTAATTTCGGGAAAAAAATTCATATTCCATATTATATTTATTATACACTCAAAGTATAATTGCTAATAACTACTTTTGAGTGTTCAACTAGTGAGACAAAGAAATGTATATTTGAAATTGAGAATATTAACTTCGTGTGTAAGAAACTTCTCATTTCTCTAGTTATTGTTTTTGATAATCAAACAAAACGCGTAGATTTGTTTGAATATTTCCGTAAATAGTCATTGAAGATTGGCCATGTCGAAGGTCTTATCTCAAATTATTCTTCTTAATTTTATAGGCACGAATATACTGTCACTCCTTCAATAATCAACTTGTTGATTGGTTCTTACATAAATATCCATTCGATGTTATATCTATAAATCTCAATGGGCTATATATTATTGAAATAGACATATGGAAAGCATCAATAAATACAAAATCCATGAAAATTTTATCGACGGGTGTGAGTTTGTCTTTTGTTTATGGTCACGTGCATAGCCTATAACCCCAATTGCTCTATTATTTGTGTATAACTAATAATATTGAAATAAATCAGGATTAAAATAATAAAAATGTAGCATAAAAGAAAATATTAGCAATGAATACAATTTCAGTTAGAATCATTTATTAGTTATTGTCACGATCGATACCGATAAGTATACGTTGAATAAACATATCCCATGATGAATCTCTCAATTCTAATTGTCCACAATATATGCCATTACGTTGACTTGTTCGTTGATAGAATTCGATCGCTTTATGAATTTGTTTGTTCATACTAGCCGGTAAATGATTACAAAGATGAACCTTAACGAGATGAAGAGATTAGAATGGCAAATGAGAATATCGAAAAAAAAACCGATTAACTTTGATTTGTTCAATATTAAATAAAACTTGAAACCTATTCTGTTGTAAAACTTGTGTTTGAAGGACAAGCCACATCAGAATAACACCTGTACCAATCAAACGAACAAGTTCATTGTGTATGTTCAAAGCTAAAAAATAATAAAAGTTAATATCTTTATAGGTTAACAATAAATCATTCAATATTACCGAGTGAGTTAAAACCTTGTTCGCGTAAATAGTAATCAAGACCATTGAACATATCAACATTGACATGAAGTACATCAGCTAAATCTTTATTCAACGTAAATGAACCATCCTATATTCAATAAATAGTTATAAAAAGTTTTCACAATGATGTTACCTCAGATTGAAGTTTCATGAGTTCTTCCATCATTGGTTTTGTAGATCGAATATCATTCAGCTTACTGAGAAGTGGAGCATTAGTCGTTTGATCTGAATTCATATACAACTGAAGTATATCTCAGAAATAGTAACAAGAAATAAAATTACCGAATGTAGTAGCAGGTTCACCTGAAAAGTTATGTATAACAGTTTCAATTTGACCATCGAGCTAACCAAAGACAAAAAGTGAACAATCAAATTATGAGAAAATGACATGATACAAACCATGTATAGTGGATCACTGGGTTTGTGATCATCAACTACAAAATAATAATAAATAAATTTAAGTTACTCTTTAAACACTGACCACATTTAGCTGCGAAATTTGCATCACTGTTTACATGTGCAAGATGTCGTTTGATTTCATCTAGTGTCCATCCTAGATAAATTTAAATGATATTTCATGATGATCTCAAACATCTAAGTAATCATCGTACTTGTCCCAAGACAAGGTGCGATAATGCATGAAGTTTTTGCACCCGAACGTGCTTCATCAGCATCAACATGAAGTATACCATTGGGGTCGATAACAATGCAAATAGCTATTTCAAGTGTCTGCGCAGAAAAATTGTTTGTTAGACCAGTAAAACTGAACTCGCCCAAAAATCTCTACAATAGAGAAAGCTAACAAATAAAATTGATGCATTTATGATATTACGCACATTGTATTTTGTAAGATAATGCTCTCCTTCAAATATACGTATGTTCGCTGTTGTCTGATAGGCATAAGCATTTGTGAATACTGAGTAAAGTTGCGTCTGCGTTGGAATATTTGTGCCACGACGAATGAATATGCGCATGTGACCATGAATATCTTCGATACCAATACTAAGCTGACAGGCATTGAGAAGCAGTAACTCAGAGACAGGTGCACTTGATCTTGAGACATTGGTAATTCTTTATAGAGAGAAAAGAATTTGGATGATTGATAATTAATCGTTGAGTGCTTCTGTGACATATTTTAAAACTTACCCTTGTGCTACTTTTTTCGTTTTGTCAATCATGGAATTTAATTGTACAGTTTTAGATGCTAACTTCAGCATACTATCGTCATCACGTTGCTTCTCGAAGTGAAAGAAATTTCTGAAGAAAAAGCTGCATGTTTATGTACGTACTTTGGTATCTTTAATCGATTGTTTTATTCGCAAAGTTTGATTTGTAGAGAAAAAGGTTGAATCTATTGGTATTATCTTATTCAGCGTACCTCCGATTGAGCTTCGTGTTTTAGTCATAGCAACCGATGCACTACCATGTTTACCACCACGTGACAAGGCTCGTGATAGGTATTCTGTATTTATGATCCGTCAATCGAAATAATTGAGAGGTTCGTATGATTCTAACTTACTATAGCTTGACGTTCGTCCTGATGGTGTTGCTATTGGAACAGGAGAAGGAGAAGCAGCAGCAACTGTAAAATATAAGAATTTGAATTGTATTCATTAAAATAATCATGCGACCAAGTGCTAAAACGCATATAGTTCTATTTGTGACTCACCAGGAGGAAATGATGGTTCAGGTTTCATATTCAGCACTAATTGACCAGACGAGAGGCTTTGTAAAGAGCTACTCGGAAGCCTCGTTTGCATATCTGTGGTATTGATTTCAAATCCAAAGGCAGGTAGCGGCGGCGGCGGCGGGACCCATGACTGAGGTACAGACGGTGGTGGCGGCGGCAGCGGCGGGCCCCATGACTGAGGTACAGGTGGTGGTGGCGGCGGCTGGGGCGGGCCCCATGACTGAGGTACAGGTGGGGGTGGCGGCGGCTGCGGGGGGGCCCATGACGGAGGTACAGGCGGGGGTGGGGGCGGGGGGCGGGGGGGG